TCTGCACACCTTGGGCGACAGTGTCCCGCTCCTGGGGGTGCTGGGACTCGTTCCCCCCACTCACTGCCCTGCCCAGAGCCATGGCAAGGCCGGGCACCTCTGCTCCCTTTGTCAGGGTCCCCTTGCAAAAGGCCTTTGTTGTCCGTTGTGTTTAAATTCCCTACGCCTGCCTTCCCGTTGTTTGCACTGATTACAGACTATCCCATCAGTGCAATGCAGCGTCGTTTTCTTAACTATTCTACTGTGTGACACATAAGTGGCGTCCAGCACGTCACTGGTACAGATGTTGTCTGAGTGGCCCATTAGTACACATACTTCCCCATGTTTTACGGGGTTTCCTGAGGACATGGTCCCGGAGTGGGCGTGCCCAGACGCACGACCGAGCAACTCCGCGCCCAGGAGCTCAGCTTGGCGGCTGAGCGCGCACGATGGAAACCCACGTGGAGGAAGAGGCCCTCAGAGAGCTGGGAAGCCCGGGGTTCAATCTTCGCATTGAACTTAAGGGGGTTGGTGGCACCCAAGCCTTTGAGAGCAGTGGCGATGTTAAAAGTACCATTATTGCACATGGCAGTCTGGACGTGGGGTCAGAAGCATGGGAGGGCGAAGATGAAGTAAGAAAAGGCTAGTCCATCAAGAGACGATTAGAATACCTCTGGGGCAACATTACGGCTGAGGCTGTGAGCCCATGGGTGGTTTTTTAAGTCACTGACGGTGAGGGACCAGGGACTGTTTTATAACCTATGCGTGCTCGCTGCTGAGCGCTGACCCAGCTCGGAGTGCGCGGTGCAGCCGTGGCTCTGACGTGGACGGGTCAGTCCTTGGAAGCGAGGACACACTTTTGCCTGGTGGGTCTGCCACTCGAAGGACGCTTCCTGGGAACCGGCCCGTGGCCGTGCTGAGCCTGACCTGCTGCTTGGGCACGCGGCTCCGACTGACCCTCAGGCCGCGGTGAGTCAGGGAGTGGACCCGGGCTTCGCCCGCTGCAAGCCGGATCTGACTGAAGAGTTGTTCCCTTTTCCGGACTCCCGCCTGCTGTCCTGCCGGAGCTTCAGCTCCTTCTTACTAGAACCATTTCTCTGTGGTTCCCCTCGACGACCCTGATTGCCTAAGGTTTATTGCATGGCTCCCTCTGAATAGTTCAATCCCTACACCATCAGGCAGGAGCCTGGGGTGGCCGCAGCCCTTTCCTTTTCCAAAAGCTGCCCCTTGACTTAGGTTCTGGGAGCCTGTGAGGTCAGGGAGGCGATGGGAATCTGCGGTCCCAAACATGAGAATAACTGCTTCCCACCAGAGCACGGTCACCCCCCCGCCCCCCCCCCACCCCCGGGATCTCACTGCCCGTGTTTCCTGCAGGTTCGGTCTTGCCCTGGGCGTCCCGTGGTGCACAGAAGAAGACACATCGTATAGTTTCCGTGATCAAAACTGTGATGGTTTTGTGCAGACAGGCTCAGGATAGTATGTCACAGAAAAAGAAAGATACATAATTACATAGGGTAAGATCCCAATTTTGTATGAGCCAGGAATTAAAAAGAAAAACAAAACATGGATACGTGCATGAAAAACTATAAGAAAATTCATAAGATATTGGTAATACGAGTTATCTCTGGAGACTGGAATTATGAATAATTTTTTCTTAAAACTATTTGTTCACAAATTTTCTAAAATCAAGATGTATTGCTCTTATAATGAAAAAAGTAAGATAATTGGTATTTTTTTAATTTTAATTTTTCAGTATTAGGTGACATGCAATATTATTTAGTTTCGAGTGTACAACGTAAGTGATTAAATATTTACAGACTCTACGAAGGGACCCCCTCAGTAAGTCTGGAGCCCGTGGGGCACCAAACATGTTTAACTCACAAGGAAAACAGGGTCCTTACAACTCTGTGTCCCCTCGTGTTGGTAGAATGAAAGCGGACGCAGAGTGAGAGCCCAAGGAGGGCCTCCTGCATTCTCCCAGTGCGGCCACTTCCCCAGGCTGGCAATAGTGCTGCCGCTGTCCCCACCAAGGGCCAGTGCCTGGCGCCAGCCAGCCCCCAGCCCCCTTAGAGAGCCCAGCAGCGGTGGTGCCCCGTATGGGAGAAGGCCCGTCAGCCTCTGGCAATGCCCACCCTTTGAGTACCAGCCGGGTACCATTCCAGAACCTTGTTCTGAATGCTGGTGAAAGAGCAATTCAGGCCCCTCGTCTTTAACACAGAAGCCGTTGGCACGCGTGGTGGCTGCCACTCTGGGTTTGTCTAAGCCCAAGTGGTTTTCTTGATGTTTGTGCAGAATGACAGCATGAAGGGGCTGAGTCGTTGCTCGTGGGAGCACTCAGGGGACATCCTGGCCCGTTTCCACGGCTCCCTGATGGGCCCCGTTCCCCTCATAGCCTCTCCGTGGCTGTGCCCGGACCTGGGAGTGGCTGCTCCCGCCGAGAAGCCCACACCCTTCCAGGATGAGGCGGAGCAGTGACAAGTTTCTTTGCCTCTGGTTCTGAGGCCGGCGGCTTTGTGCTGGGGCTGGCTCCCGTTTCCCCGGGAGGCACACACCGTGTCCGTCGTCCGAAAAGTCTGCAACAACCGCAGTTTCCTGCCCGTCCGCCCACAGCAGGGCAGGCTTCTGGGGCATTCCCTCAGCTCTCCTGGGGTCCTCCTCTTCTCAGGCCTCAGCCACCCTGGCCCGGACTCCCTTGGGTGGGCCGGGAGCCCGGGCCGTCCCACGCAAGACTGGGAGATCAGCAGGTGTGTCTCCTGCCCCTCACCTACGCTTTGCACACTTAGCTCCTCTCCCACACCCTCTGGGCAGGGTTTCAACAACCAACCCAAGTCAAGGCGCATGGCAGAGGAGGCCTGACCGGTGACCGCTGCCAGGATGTGTGTTCTGAGTTCCGACCGGGAAGGAGGAGGACGTGAGCCCGAGGCACCGGGCGTTTGGTACCAGGGGAGGGCGGTGCTGGGCCGCGGGGCGTGTTGAAAACGGCCCTGCTCTGGAATCGCCGCAGCCATCCGCTGCCGAACACACACTTATGCAGCCGACACCGCACGAGGCCGTGCGCGCCGTGATGAACGGGGCTCCTGGCACAGCGGTGCCTTGGTGCAGAGAATAATAGGCTGGCGCTCCTGGGTGGCTGATGAAGGCTGTTTTATTTGAGTAGCCTTGAACTTTGCTCCATGCTCTCAGCTTCTTCCTGAGACCCCTGGTCACATGTCACGTGGAGACATTCTGTTCCTACCGTTTTTACCTTGGGCACCCATTGGGCGAGAGCTAATGAGAGTCAAACAAAACTGTTTCTTTTAGCAAACGGTGGAATAGTAGTTTAGCAGTTCGGTGGCTCAGGCATTGCCCTGTTGGAGACTATTTTTTTTGGCCTAGCCAGCATCATTTCTTGGGGTAACAGCACGCTGATTTCACCTTGAGGCACCCCGTGGCTCCCCTTCAGCCCTTGAAGACCAAACAGGATTGACTCACCCAGCCCCTAGCGCCAGGAGAGGGCCTGTGACCTTGGCCTGGCCAGTCCGATCCCTGCCTCTGCTTGGTCGTAACAGCCGGTCCTGACGTGGACGCCTGTGGTCCACAGGGCGCCACAGGAAACCTCCGCGGGACTTCCTCCCATGGTTTTTGGAGAACAGTGAGCTCACTGTAGGGGGTTTGCAGGCTGGGCGGGCAGAGCCTGCTGGGGAGCAAGGCCGACCCTGAGTGAGGCGGAGACCGAGGCCACAGAGCGTCTCTCGAGTGGCTGAGGGGCTGTATTCAGTCCATCCACGGACTTTAACTTTGTGTTATCCGGTGTGTCGGCAGACAGAGACGGGGCTGGGGGGGGCGCGGGGAGACATCGATCAGGGGCCTCCTGTGTGTGCCCTGACTGGGCACAACGCTACACCACGGAGCCGCCCGGCCGGGGTTCAAGGTTCAAGGTTTTCTTTTAAAGAGAACTGTGGGCCAGCACTCCTGACGAACACGGGTGCAAACCCCTCAAGGAAACGTGAGCAGACTGAATGCAGCAGCGCGTCAGGAAGACCACTCACCCCGATCCAGTGGGGTGTGTTCCCGGGGTGCAAGGATAAGGCTGCAGCATTTTTACAATCAAGAAAAAAAACAAAAACAAAAAACAGCCCTGGCTGTCGTAGCTCAGTGGATTGAGCTCGAGCTGCTAACCAAAGTGTCACAAGTTCGATTCCCAGTCAGGGCACATGCCTGGGTTGCAGGCCACGGCTCCCAGCAACTGCACACTGATGTCTCTCTCTTTTTCTCCCTCCCTTCCCTCTCTAAAATAAAATAAATAAATAAAAAATAAAATCTTTTAAAAAATTATTTTAAAAAAGAAAAGGCATTACCTTCAAAAGAGCAACAATTAAACATATTGCTGGTTTCTCCAGAGAAGACAAACGCAGTATTTTACAGTGCTAAAAGAAAGTATCGGGCAATCTGGAATTCCATACCCAGTGAAAAATGGTCTTCAAAACTTAAAGGGAAAGAAAGGCACCTCTGGACCTCGAGTCGGGGAACTGTCCCCAGCAGCCCCGCCTTGAGGGGCGCGCTCAGCACAGGTGTTCCGGCGGAAGCACGGTGGGCCTTGGTGGAAATCAGAGGGGCGAGAAGATTGACAAGAAGGATGAAATATATGGATAAAGCTACACGTGTGTGTGTGTGTGTGTGTGTGTGTGTGTGTGAACGACAGAGAGAGAGAGCGCCAGTGTTTCCTGCAGGCCCGCAAAGAAAGCCCGAGTGGAACCGTCTTCCCGCCGGGCGGCCACCTGGGACGCAGACCGGTTTCGCTCACGGCCCCGCTTTGAAACTCCGGCGTCAACCCCGCCCAGGCGGCCCCTTCCAGGGAAGGAGGCAGCCGGGCCGGAGCGCCTCGTGAACCCTCCCCCGAGGGAGCCACCCCTGGGAACGCGGCCTCCGGTCCTGTTTTTCGTTTTTATTTTTATTTTTTGCAAAATAGACCGAATGCTGGGATGCACGGGGCGCGGGGCGACGGGAAGGGGCTTGGACACATCACACACACGCCTCCAGCGTCACATTCTTGTCCATTTTTATTGCTCGTCCCTCCTTCGCTGCTCCAAGGGGCAGACCCTCCGGAGGAGAGAGAGGGTTGCGTTTTCTCACCCACATCGCACCCTTTCGGTTCGTGTCTTCAAGTCGGGGCAGCGGCGGCTCTCTCCCTTCTCTCACGCACATGCGCAACCGTGCGCACACTCGCAGAGCTGCCGCCGGGCCGCGCGTGTGAGCGCAGAGAGCGCCCGCCCGCCCGCCCAGAGATGTATATGAATAAAACCGCGGACTCTTAGGGGGTACACATCTCTGTCAACAGCTGGATAGACAGAGCATAGACCACAGGTCGATGCTGAGTAGACCTCCAAGTCACTGGCACGCCACGTCTCTGAAACTCGGATAAAATACAAGGCTTATTATAGGATCAGTCTTCACTAGGTTGCACGTTCTAGAAGGTGCCTTCTATTTTTAAAAACTTGAAAAAATATATATCCCAAATAGGAACACTGCTCTGGAGTGAGGAGAACTGTCAAGGGGATGAGAAGGTCGAGGTACCAGCGGTGAGATAAGGCCTTGTAGCCCGAGAGCCGGCTTTCTGAAGCTGGAGTACAGTGTGGGCCTCACAGACCCCCAGAGGGACCGCCGAGCCAGCTGCCAGCTGGGCACCTGGGGACCCTGAACCCTTAAGGCCCGACCCTAAAGATGAACCCCGTGTCTGGATTCTCGTCTTTCGGCAGGAGCGCGCGCAGAGGGGAGGGGCTGAGAGTCCAGGAATGGGTGGTCGGCCCCTGTTCCTTGCAGAGCCTCCCGCCCCCTCCGACAGAACATAAAAGCAAGAGAGACTCGGCGGGAAGGGACGGAGACCCCCACCCACGCCCCCGGAGTCGGGAAGGAGAGCCCGGGCTTCCCTCGAGAGCAGCGGCCCAGGGGAGCCGCCGAGGGCGGTTTCAGAACGTAGTTTGCACGTGACTGCACTCAGAGCACCTCCCGGGAAACTGCGGATCTGCGCCCGAGGGCCGCCTCCTGGACCGGCACACCGCACTGTCCCGGGGTGAGTCCTGCGGGGCCGGGGCCGGTCCGGGCTGCTTCCCGGGCGAGGAAGTGCAGTGGCGGAGCCCGGAGGCCTCCGGACTTCTGGCCTGGCCCTGGGGGTCCACGGGGTGCGGGGCGGGGGCGGGGGTGGGGGGCGGAGCCGCTGCCAGCCCGCCCCTCCTCCTCCCCAGAAGTAGGGGAGCTGAGTCCGGCACCTCCTGGGGCGCCACCCACCGGGGAAACCGAGGGGCCAGCAAAGCGCCTGCTGCTGGAACAGATGCGTCGTTTTCTCACGTTTCTGTAGTTCTCTCCCCCAGTCCAGTGCCTTAAAAACTGTCCGGCCAGTTCGAGCTTGGACCGCGCTGCACGTGGGTCTCGGAGACCTGATGTGGCGTGGGCCCGGCCCGGGGTGTCCAGCCTCCCGGTGTCCCTGGGCCCCACTGGAGGCCGAAGAGTGCCTTGGGCCACACGTTAAACACAGAAACATCAACGAAAACCGAGGAGCACACAGAAGGCGTTAAGTGCACGTACGATTCGGGGTCGGGCCGCATTCCCGGACTCCCTGGGCAGGACGCCCCTGATTGCTGCGCGAGGCCTTGTGGAGCTCATGGGGTTCATGCTGTCAGCACCGCTGGTTTCTTGGTGTCTGGTGGCTGCCTGAGACCAGCGGTCACTCACACCAGAGCACAGTAAACCCCAGGACGGGGCAAAGGCGGTCCCTCCACACGGCGCTTGGTCAGCCAGATGGAGTCCGGCCGAGGCCAGCCGCAGGGACAGGTAGTTGCGGGCGGGCTCTGGACCCCCCAGAGGGGGACCGGTGTCTCTGGGGCGTTGCCCCCTGGGGACAATTTACTACAGTAAATTGTTTTACATAAGGTTGTTTTTTTTTTAAAAACCAAGTCCATCAAATAACACAAACTCAAAGCTGATAAAAGTCTGCTGCCCTCAGGTCCAGTCTTCTCCTGGGGCGGGGTGGGGGTGAGGGCAGGGGACGTGGACCCCTGCACCGTCCAGGGCGGTGTGGCTTCCTTCGCTGCCGCGCGCATGGCCACCAGTTCCAAGGAGACATCTCCAGCCGCTGCGACACCAGGCACAGGGGGCCATCCTACACTTTAGTGTGCTAGGCAGAGGCGCCGTCCTGCAAACAGAGGAGGAAAAGGCGGATTGGGAAAAGAGTGGGGACACCCCGACACCAGCCCCTGTCCTCAGGGAGGCTAGACCAGGCAACAATAGCAACCGTAGCAGCGACAGTAATAATAACGCTGTGTGCCTGGTGTAGCTTTTACATGCACTGACTCATTTGTTCTTCCCAAAGGCATGCTGCTGTAGGTACTTCTAGGAGCTCCACTTTATAGATGGGGCAGTTAAGGCACAGAGAGGGCAAGTGACTTCCCCTAGGTCACACAGCTAGCCAGTGGTGGAGTCGGGATTTGAACCCAGACACCAGAGTTTCTGCCCTGCACGAGGGGCTGATGCTCACGGCCCGTTCTTCGCTGTCTGGCTTCCCAGGGGCTCCTCTGTCCTAGCTCCTTACCCATTCACTCCTTCCCACTCAAGTTCATCGGGAACACCGCTCAGAAATCTTTGTCGGTGTAACAGTGGAAAAGAAGAGAAAGAACCAAACGTAAAAGAGTGACCCTTGAGTGGGAAAATGTGAGGGCCCCTGGGGAGCCCCCCAAACACAGCCACCCCACTTATATCCATGCTGGGGTCTTCAGCGATGACTTCTTTTGGGTCACATAATTTTCTCTCTTCTTTTAAAATTCATTCATTCACTCCACAAAATGTTGTTTAAAGGGCCTATAATGTCCCAGCTGCTGCTGCAGGTGCTGGAGATGCCGTGGGGGGTGGGGGAGGGGACACACAGCTGAAGGGCCAGTCAGGCGGTCCCAGACAGGAGGGCAGGGCCCGGGTTACCTGTCTCCCCGTGGGAACTAGCCGCCCAACTCCTGGGTGTGGACGCAGGCGACATAAAGCCTGGTCTTCAAAGGCATCTTGGCCCTGAAGCTCCCGCGGCCTCCTCCCGCTCCCCCCACACACACCGCTCCTCCCTCCTGTGCCCCGGGAGTCCCCGGGGAAGACCCCCTGCCCTGTGGCCTGTTCTACCTTCTTCCACGCGCCCCTCGGAGCTGCTGCTCCCCTCAGAGCCGCTGCTCCCCGGCTGGACCGGGTGTTCGGGGAGAGGAGCACACCCCTTCTCTCCCGCAGCCCCGCGGCGGGGGCTGGCCTCCCCTGACCTCCTGGAGAAGCCACGGCCCCGGCCACTGAGCCGGGCAGTCTGCCTCTCCACCCCCGCCGTCCGCCAGAACTCCGAGTCAGCGAGAAGCCCGAGAGGCCATGGGACTCATTTCCCTTTCTTGTTCTCCTGTCCCTGCACCGTCGGCGACAGCCTCTCTCAACCCTGTGCCTTTGGTACGTGCCCTGAGCTGCCCTGTGACGGACCGGGCCGTAAGGGACAGCGCAGGCGACGGACCTGCGAGGCCCAGACCTGCTCTCCCAGGCGGACGGACCAGCCGAGCCCCTACCTCTGTCTCGGGGGCCTCGCTGCCGGTCGTGGGGCTGCAGCCGGGCTCCGGGGCGGTGGCCTCCTCCTGCTTCTCCTGGCCGGTCCCCTCTTCTGGGGCGAGGCTGCCCTCCACCCCTGCAGGGGGGGCCTGGGGGGCCTCCTGCACCTCGGCCCCCTCCTCCAGCCGCTCCGTGTCTCCGCCGGGTGGCACGGGCTCCTCCTCACCGCCGGCCCCCTCCTCCTTCACCTCCGCGGCGGACTCCTCCTGCTCCGCCGCTGGCCTTCCCTCCGCAGGGCTCCCACCCCCGTTCTGCGCCTCGGTGCTGGTGGTGCTGGTCGCCGGGCGTGGCTCTGCCGCTGCCTCCTCGGCATCCCCTGGAGCCTCCTCCGGCCGCAGGGCCTCCTCCGGGGCCCGGGCCTTCTCCTCCTGCTTCTCCGTCCCGCTGGACGTCCTCCTCAGCGGGGGCTTCTCGCGGGACCCCGGGGCCGCCCGCCCTGCCCTTCCCAGTGCCCCCTCGCCGGGGGGAGGCGAGCCCGGGGCCTTGCTCTTGGGCGCGAACACCTCGTCCCGGGCGTCTTCCTGCGCCCCATTCTCCTGGGACGGCTCGGGCGCCCGGAAATCCCCCAGCTCCCCGCAGTCCGACTGCGACCTCCGGAACCGCCGGGAGGGCGGGCGCCTCTTGATGGAGCCCCTGGTCCGCACCTGGAGGAAGGCGTTAGGGACAGTCACCCCCGACCCACAGGGAAGGCCAGGAGGGAGACTGCGGGTTCTTTGTCCGCCCGCCCGCCCGCCCTCCTGCCTCGAGGGTAGGCCGGACAACCTCCGATTTTCCAGGGAGCGGCCGTCGCTGCCTCCCGATGACAGGCCAGAGCCCCGGGGACAGGGGGACCCCGCGGCAGCCTGCAAATTTTGTCTCGAGAAGGTGCCACGATTCCCACCCAATAGAAAAGGTAACCCATGACTTTGCTGCCCGGTGAACAGGAATCTGTTTGGTGTCTAATTTAGCAATCTTATTTGAACTTCTGTTTTTCAGATCGCCAGTAAATAGCCTGTTCTTCCCGTGGTCTTTGAGTGAGCTCCACCGGCCTGCACGTTCCCCTAGAAACTGACGAGCAGCATGAAGCCCAGCCCTACTGTGCGCGAGAGGTATATTGTAACGTTGTGAAAAATTTGCCTTCTCGAAGGCGACCCCAGTGAAGAAGAAGGTCAGGGGCCTGATGGTGGCCTGGCCCTGAAACAGGCACTGCAGGGGGCACAGCCGGACAGCTGGGGGCCACCTTCCTCCCTTGGCCCCCCATTCCCGCCAAGCTGACCCATCCCGGGAAAGCCAGGTGCCCCATTATCAGAGGCTGGCCGTAGGCGCCCCCAGCAGAGCTGGTCGAAGGCCCTCTCCCCCTGGGGAGTGTGAGTCCGGGGGTGAGGGCCGCCTTGGCCCTGCAGACTCCGGCGGGGGTCCAGTGCAAATGCTCACCTCCGACGCCCAACCTCACTCAAGGGATGCCCCTTTCATGACGTAGGTGTCCGTTAGCCCTGATGTTTGTGAGTTTGATTTCCCCACTGGCCGATGTCTGGCTGGTGGTCCAGGCTGACCCCATCTCAGAGATTTAGGAGGCTCCCGGGCCCTTTCTGAGACCACGGGGTGGCCAGCCCCGCAGGGGTCAGGGCCCAGGGCCCGCAGCCAGCAGGGTCAGTCTGCTCTCCCTGTCCCCTTGCAGCTCTCCGGGCGCTAAAGCCCTGGCAGGACCACCAGGTAGCAGCACCTCCCTCCACGGCCCTACTCCCTGTCAACCCCCGGCAAGAGACAAGGCCTCCCGGCCCCTCTCTCTGTCACCCTGGGCTGCAGGGTCTCCCCTCGGTCCCCAGCCAGCAGGCACCCCTCACCTCTGCACCCCAGTCTGCTTCCTGGGGCCCCACCTGCTTCCACACACGTGGCCTTTCTTTCCCAGGTGGCTTTTCCGGAATGGCCCAGAAGATGCCACTTTCTCTAGCCATCGTGACAAAGTCACACCCATGTGCCCTTCCTGGGCATTAGACCCCCTTAGAGATCTCGGCCCCTGCTGGGCGCTGCCCCCCATGTGTTGGGCAGCTGCTGGGACCGGACCAGACTGGACTGTGTCTCTGCTGCCCACCGCGTCCCGGCAGGGCCAGGCGGCCGCGGAAGGAGCGCACAGAGTACCGGGCACGCAGCGTCTCCAGAGGCCCGCCCTGCCCGCCGCCTTCTGCAAAGGGGCCAGCCTGGGCGTGCGCTGACCGCGGCAGGACTGCCTGCAGCCGTCCTGGGGCGCTCAGCACTGGCCCCCCCAGGTCAGATCGGGGTGTCTGACATCCTCGGGACCCTGCCCACCCTTCTGCACGAGTCACTGCCCAGGCCTTCGGCTCCGGTTTTCAGCTTCGACAGGACTCTGCGCGGGTGGGCTCAGTCCCGAGTTCCCACCCCGCCTCCCACCAGAGACAGGCAGTGCTCTCCACCCCTGACGCCCGCCTTTCCGCTGGCAGGGGCAGGGGCAGGGGCAGGGTGGGGGAGACGGGCAGCGAGGGAGATGGCCCGTCTCAGCTCAGGGGCCGCTGGCAGAGAGGAGGGGCCGTTTCCGCTCGGCTGACAGCCAGCCCCGACGGCGGCCCAGACCCGCCCTCCTCCCTCCTCCATCGCGCGGGAACGTGCGGACAGACCGCAGACTCCCAGCCCGGCGTCACCTTGTTGTAGCAGGGTAGGTGGCTGCCCTCGGGGGGCTGGTCGAAGCTGATGGGCACCTCCTCCGGCTCCTGCGGCCGCACACCCGGGCTGCTGGGAGTGGAAGGCGGGCTGTGGAACGGAGACACTGCCGCCTTGAGCCCCGGACTCTTGGGCGAGGCCCCCGGCAGCAGGGCGGCCGGGTCGAAGGCTAAGTTGGCCTGTGGGGAGAAGGGGGACGTTCAAACAGGGGCGGGAGCAGAGGAGATGCCGGGCCGCGGAACGCCTCCAGCATTCCCGACAGCGGTGTCACCCGGGGTGGGGGCGAGTTTGTTCCCAGGAGACAGTTGGCAACGGCTGGAGACTTTTTTGTGGTCACAACTGGCTGGGGAGGGCTGCTGGCATCTCGTGGGGAGGGGCCGGGGTGCTGCTAAACACCTTCCAGCCCATGGGCAGCCCCTGGCGGGGTGGGGGGGGGAGATGGCCCAGCCACACTGAAGCTCGGGCGCACGAACCCCGGCCCAGAGAGGTACGAGTCGGGTCGATACAGGTCGGGTCTGTGTTTTACTCTCCCCTGCGGCCTCCGTGGCAGCACCCGTGGAAATCTTGTCCCCGCCCCCCAGCGAGACCGGGAGCCAGCAGCCCCACTCCGGCGCGCCGGTGATCCGTGCAGGGTTCCAGCCAGAGCAGCCCGATGTCCGGCCGCTGGACCGCAGCCCCGCGTGAGGCTGGCGTGGTCGGCGGCTGCCCTCAGGCCTCGGGGGATGGGCCTGGCTATTTCTGGAGCGTCCCCTGCCCTGTGACGGCCCTTCCCCGTCCGACTGCTGAGGCGTTCTGCTACCGGCCAACCGCCGCTGGGTGTTGGCTGCGTGAGCTCGTGCTGGGCACGGGCCTGACTCGGCCCCGCGGCTCCAGGGAGAGTCCCCGTCGCTCAGGGCCACTCGCTGGTGTCAGAGGTCAGCTCTCCAGGTGACACACAGACGCGCTCGTGGGGGGTGGGAGGCAGGGTCGGGGGAGAGGTGGCCACGACGGGCGCCCTGCGGTACTTACCTGGAGCTTCTCGATCAGAGGCGAGCTCTTCACCTTGACTTTGGGGAGGTGGCTCGCATTGTGTGCCGATTTCTGCAGGGCAAATGGACCGAGAGGGCCGGGTGAGTGAGGTGGAGGGAGGCGGGGCGCCGGCCGGAGCCCAGAAGCCACGGGTGGCTGAGAAGTTGGTGTCACCACCCAGCCTCGGTGGCCTGCCCGGGCCTCCCGCCGCCCTGTCTCTCCACTGGCCAGAGCACCGAGTCCCCGAGACAGAGCCGGGGGAGGGGGGGGACAGACGTGGGCATGCAGGCCTCCGGCCCCGGGAAGAGTGGCTTCGGGGCCACCCTGGGGGGACAGACTGCGTCTGAGAGGGGACTTCTGCACCTCCGATGGCCTTCAATGACCGGAGCCCGCGCCCGCAGGGAGCTTCAGAGAGAAAGGGCAGAATGACCCCTTCCGTGGGTCACACACAAAACTGGAAACCGCAGACCAGGAGTGAAACCCGACAGAGGTATTTTGGAAATTCTCCCCTGGAACTAACGCTATTTTGGAAAACCCCACCACAAACGATCATTTTCTAAAACATCAAATACTCGTTTTGATGGAGCAGACACTTGTTGAATGTCGGCCGCAGCCCAGGCTTGTGCTGGTTCTACAAAGATGCGCCCTGCTGGTTGCGGATATTTGGGGGCATGAATGTCTGTAGAAATCTGATCTGTCTTTGATCTTATGTGATCTAAAAAGAGGGGTTCCTTTCTGTTCTGTGCAAAATCCCCACAATCGAGTGGTTCCCCAGGTCCACTGATCCTCATGTGTAGGACCGATGGTGGTGATGATGATGATGAAGAGGAAGAAGAAGAATGTCGTGTTTCTGACAAGCAGCAGCAGCAGCAGCAGCAGCTACATGCTGTGGACAGAGGCCAAGGCAGAAAAGGGACTTTCCTGTGGTCAGGAGACCCACCAGGAGCCCCTGCCCTGGCCACCACGTGCTGACCGACCCGAGTCACAGCGAGAGGACCGGCGCTGACCTCTCAGAAAATGTCCTGAGATGACAAGCTCAGAGACGGAAGGAGGAGGCTGGCTCAGCAGAACCGCTGTGACCTGTGTAAGGCAACCGGCCTCTAGGGAGGGATGCGCAGGGGACAGTCCCTGCCTGGGACCCGGGAGGGGGACCCCTGCTAATTCCACCTCAGCTCCCCCAGCCAAGACCCGGCAGGCCGGCTGGAATCAGGGACCCCGGGGCAGACCCAGCTCCCGCTCCGGCTCCTGGGTGCCTCTGGCCCCAGCTCACACCGCCCGGCGTGCTCCCCAGCAGTCCTTCAAGGGGCCTGTGTCACTGGGGAGTCAGTCCCACGAGCTCCCGGCCCAGACTGGGTCGTCCTTGGTCGCTGTGTCTGAAGGCGGAAGTTCACAGGAGCTGGTGTTTCTGAGATGCTGTTTCAGAAACCGCAGTGGCGATTTTGCTGACCAATCTCTCCTTCTGGAGTACTGTCAACTCTCCTCCTCACCTGTCCACTGCCCTCTGAAGAGGGTGGAAATTTAGGGGGCATGGCCTGGTCACCACAGGACGGGTCTGGGAACCCCGCTCAGGCTCCCCAAGTCCTGGTGAATTGGAATTGAACAGCAAAGCGGAATTCAGACGGGCCGCTCATGCAGTTCCCAAGCACGCCAGCAGGTGGCAGCATCTCCCTTGCCGTTTAACCTGGGCTCCGTGTCCGCAGCCGGGAGCCAGGCGAAAAGCTAGCCCTCTGTCCTCTCTGTGGCCGGATCTTTGTCCAGACAGGACATCCATCCCAACAATCTCTCCAAGCTATGGACCTGACTTGCGGATGGGGGAGGGGTTTCAGCCCCCCTCAGGGCGGACGAGGCAGGGTCTGTGGCCACATTAAACTGCCCAGTCGCCCAGTCCACAGGGGCTGACTCCAGGCCTGTGAGGGTGCAGGAGAAGCAGGAAAGGAAATGGGGTGGAAAACCCTTTCCGGCATTAGGAACCACGGGGGTCTCCTGCCCAGGGTTCTGCCTCCCGGCCCCCCAGCCTCCTAGGATCCGGGTTCCTGCTGGAAGAGCTAGGGCCGCCCCCCGTCCAGCCCAGCCAGGCGAAGCCGGCCGCTCCTTCCGTGAGAATTCCGAAGGGACAAGAAGTCCGTGCGCCCAGGAGTGATGTCCCCTTCCTGTGCGCAGGCGGCCTGTCTCTCCCCGGGGACTCTCCCCCTAACGTCCACCCCGCCGTTGACCCAGAGCGGCAGCCAGCCCTGACGGCCGCATCACAGTCCTGCCGGGACCAGTGGGGCCCCCTCTCCAGGTGCTTCTCTACACGGAAGGTCATCAGGGCGGACCCGGGAGGAAGCACAGCTTTCTTGGCGGCTCCCAGACCGGGGGTAAGTAAGGCCCGCCCTCCGCGCTGAGATCCCCAGGCTGGAACACCCGCGCTCCTGCCCTGGCCAGTCGGTCACAAAGGAGGCTCCGAAAGGGAGCGTGGAAGGGGTCAGCATCGAGGATGCAGCAGCGTTCACCCCTGAGTCTGAAACGGGGACATCGCCGGCCCGGGGGTCGAGGGCTGAGTGTCTGACTTCCGTGCTCTCCGCTAGAGGAAGAGGAAGAGGAAGAGGAAGAAGGCTGACAGCAGCGGGCCTGCGGCACTCACCTCCTCTCCGTTCTGGCCCAGCTCTACTCTGGGGGGGAACAGGGGGAGGGAGCAGGGCGGTTTCCTCGTCCGGGCTGGTTTACTGGCTGGTATCTGGAGGCGGGTGAGAGTGACGGACAGACACAGGGAGAGAGAGAGCAAATCAGGCAACAAGGAGGAAGAGGAGGAAGGCAGTGGAGATGGTTTGAGGGACGCTGAGGGGTGTCTGGTGGAGGAGAGAATGCAGGGAGGGGTGGCGTGTCCTCGAGGTGGGCCATTCACCGGGGACGTGAGTTCAGAGTCCCCGGCCACCCCCCAACTGGACGGCAGCCTCTGGTCAGCCGCTGGTCCACCCAGGCTGCAGCGCGGGGACCTGCCTCCCTGCCTTCCCTGCGGGCACTCCTGGGCTCCGGCAGGAGCCGGTGTGGGGACGTCTTCTTCCTGAGCCGGCCCAGCCCGGCACAGCTGGGCAACCCCAAAGCCTCCATCAGCGGGGGACGGGGTGGCCCTGGACGCAGACACGCGGCCCTGGTGGGCAGGCGGGCAGTGGGCTCCGGACCCTAAGCCTCGCTCAGCTGGGCAGGAGCAGCCCAGGCCCAGCAGTGGTGACATTCCTCACCTGCAGGGGGACCCCTCTGTGGCTTCTCTTCCTAATTTGGTAATGACCAAGCTTCCTCCCTCCCTCTCCTCTGGCCTGACCCAGACTTCCCCTTCCTCCAGGCCCCCCAGCCGCCTTCCCCCAAGCAGGGCTGCGGGGCCACCTGGCTCACCTCCTTGGTGGCGGCCGCCTGCTCCCTGAACCGCCCGGCCAGCTGGGCCACCGACGGGGACGCCGAGGTGTCCACATTGGCGTTGGCCTCCGAGGGTCTGTCCTGGCAAACCAAGGGGAAGTGACAGTTAACAGAAGCCACGCGGCTCGGTGTCCACACCGCGGCCACACTGGCCACTTGTCTGTGGCCTAGAGCCGGGTGCCGTGATGACGGGGTCTTCGCACCGTATTTTGCAACTGGCTCCAGCCTGCAAAGTGTTTTTGTTAAAACCATCCAGTGAAGCGCATGCAGTGGGTGGATGTGGAGGGTGTGCTGGCCCGCTGTGGCTCTGGGGGGCTGGAGGGGCACCCAGGGGTCCGGGAGACACACGAGCCCCAGCTTCTGAGGCCACGGGCAAAGGGGTGCCCATCGTGGCCGAGTTCACCACGTGTCCGAGGTCCCGCCCCCTCCACTTCATGGGGCGCCTGGGGTGGGGGGGGAGTGTTCACCTGTTCAACTACCCGGTGAATTAATAAATGCCCCGCACGAGAGCCAGGCAGCCTGTCGAGGAGGACCGGACCGCCCGGCTTCAGCCGCTGCCTTGTCCATCTGTCCCTAGCTCGGTGACCTCGGGCAAATGACCTTAGTGCCTCTCCCTACCAAGACGAGGACAGCAGCAGCACCCGCCCCCTGGACGGCTGCTCTGGGGACTGACTGCTTCTCTGTAGGAAGGGCCCCACCGGCCTGCACAAGGGCTGTCCTGACCTCGGGGCGACCTCGGGGGCGGCTCCCCCGAGGGACCGGCGCGGGTTCGGGGCCCTCGCTGACACGCTCGCCCCTCCAGCCCTCCTGCTCCTTTTCGCTGAAGGAAGCAGGTTCCCCGAGTGGGTCGTGCCCCTGCTCTGTCTCCGGTGCAGGTGACCGGTGTAAGGTGACTGTCGCCGCCCCCCACCCAGGTGCCTGCAGGTCCATGAAGAGACCACGTGGCCCCTGGGCTCCGCCCACTCGGACGGGCCCTACGTCATCACGACGCAGCGCGTGAGTCAGCCTGCGCTGGAAGTGGCCCCCCCCGCTTCTGTGAAGTTACACGCTGCCTCTGTGACCACCTGGTTGACCGCCTGGTTTCAATAACGGTCTTTACGTGTCCGGCCCCAAAGCCACCAGGCTTTTGTTTTCGTGACTGTGACGACCGCGACGATCACACGGCTGCACACCCCCTCCAGGCGCGCGGCCGCCCGCCCGGGAGGGGCTGCTGAGAGAGGCCCCCCTGCGCCCTCCCCCAGGCCACGGCCCACAGAGGCGGGGCGCGCGCCCTCCAGCGGCAAGCCTGCTCCCCGGTGTGCCACACACGAGCACACACGCGCGTGTGAACACACGCACTTCCTGGGCCCTCGTTTTTGTGCTAGCAGTGTCTCCGTGCTTTCTGACTTCGGCTCCCCTCCAAAGTAAGAGTGATCAGTCCTGCTGTGGACCACGCGGTCCCCTCGGAGCAGGGAGGGGCAGGCCCCACCCCCACCAACCTCCCTTGGCGACATAAGTGCACAGGCTGGCCCCGGCTGGGTGGCCCAGTGGGTTGGAGCATTGTCCCATAAGGTGAAATGTTGCAGGTTCGGTTCCGGGTCAGGGCACATGCCTCGGGTGTGGGTTCGGTTCCCGGTCAGGGCGCGTGGGAGAGACAACAAATGGGTGTTTCTCTCCCACGTGCCTGTTTCTCTCTCTGTTTCTCTTTCCTTTTCTCTCCCTCTACAAGCAATAAACTTTTCCTCGAGTGAGGTTTTTAAAAAGTGTACACAGGACGAAGTCCTGCGGGGAAGGCTTGTTTAGAGATGGGAAACGAGGGCCCGGGGCCTTCAGATCCGGGAACAGATTCTGGAGGCAAAGAGAGGTCCCCTCTACTGTGTCCTGCTGGTAGTTCAAGTTCATCCCCATTCCTGCCTGGACACCAAATGCTGACTCCACGTAAGGAGGGAACGGATCCACCCCGAGTCACGACACCCGAGTTCCCCAAACACCGTGAAAGCGGGGCGTCGGAGCCCCCGGGGGTGGAGGGTGGGGGGGGCGGGTCAGTGCCGGTGGGCGGGGCTACGGGACCCGGGGTCTCAGCTCGCTTGGGGCTCTGGGAGCAGGAACGCTCAGAGGCAAACACCGCCTCCCTCTGGAGGGGCGGCGGTGCGGGTGGGGGTGCGGGGCCGGCGGTGTGACCGGCTCCCCTCTGACTTCCTGCCCACAGCGCCGATCCGCCTCTCTGTCCGCTGCTATTTATTGCTCGGTCCTGCTGACCACGCACTTCGCCGCGGCTCCAAAGGCGCCATCCCTGGCGGCGTGGGAAGAGCATTCCAGATAAAAATAGCGCCGCGCAGGGGTCAGAAATCTCCCCGAACCCCCCTGCCCCGAACCGGGGCGTGGCTGGGGCTCCTAGAAGCCTTCAGGGTTTAAACGCGGGGTTGAAGGGAAGACGAGAATTCGTCTGAGTCTGCTTTGCTGGAGCCCAGCGAGCAGGTTCTCTGCAGAGCGTCCGTGGACTGCAGCGCTTGCTCAAGCCCGGCAGGTCCGCCCTCCAGGCGCCTCTCGGTCCCTGTGGAGGGCTGGTCACTGCCTTCTCCCAGCTGGGCTCCCTGCGGCCCAGAGAGGGCAAGCAACGCAGGCAGAGTCACACAGGAAAAGCCACCCAGGACAGAATGGGAAACACCCGACTCCACCCCCTGCTCCTCCAGCAAGGGCACCAGATAAGCAACGTCATTTCCGAAGGTGCTTTGCAAACTGTAAAGTGATCTATAAATAGCGGGGCACCGCGAAGGCAGGCCTTGGGGAGGGGCAAGAGCCGGGCCTGTCTGGGCCCCGGCCTGTCTGGGCCCGGGCCTTTCTGGGCCCGCCTGCCGCTCTGCCCTGCAGTTCTGGCAGCAGGACATCTGAGCTCCTCCAGGGCTCCACAGCTCAGCCCCCCACCCCAGGCCCGGGGGCCCAGTCTCGGTGGTAGCTCCCTCAGTCCTGCTAAGGCCACGCTCTGGCCTGGACAGTGACCCCTCGGCCTCCCGGGGACGACACGTTCTTTCCCTGCTCCTAAGAGGGGCGTAAAGTATTTAACACGGCGCCAGGATGCAGCAAGCCCTCATCCAAGGGCGCTTTCTGCCCAGCCCGCAGTGCCCGGGGCTGGACACCTTCCCCGGGGACTCTGACACCTGTCTCAGCCCCCTGGGCCTCGCCCCCCGCAGCCCTTCCCTGCCTGCACCCAGCCCCTGCGTCGGGGGCACGCCTCTGACCTCAGCTTGGCCTCTCCTCTTGGGCCAAACCTCCATGCCTCCTGCCTGCTTCCTGGGCCGTGCCCCTCTGTGTCCTGCTTCAGTGGACACCCGTCTTTGCAGCTGGAGGCCTCCAGTCCGCTGCCCGGCCCCAGGTACTGCCTCCCGGGCCCGCCCTGCCCAGCTCGGCCGGTCCTCTCGGCGACCCCGCCCAGGGCGGCTGTGGCTTGGCCGAGGCCAGAACCATCGGCCCTGGTGCTGAGTTTCTGCCCGTCTGGGCCTTTCCTCTGAGGACAGAGCAGCCCTGGGTCGGGGCGCCTGGGCTCCCCCACGCTGTGGCCGTGCTGAGTGAACGCACTTCGGATGCTGCCGGCCGTGTGCGCGGTGGAACCCGGGGTGCCCAGCCCGGTCTGGCTCCACCCGCCTGCCTGCCCCGCCCTTCGTCCATCCGCCTCCTGGTGGGTCGGAAGTCTGCGCCGCTCGCTGCTGCCGCCGCCGTGGTCTGGGGAAACGAGGGGGGCCGGGGGGCTCCTCACCCACAGCTTGGGAGGGGAAACAATGGGGGCTCCGCCTGGGGCCCACCTCCTGGCAAAAAGGGGGTTTCTCTCGATCGGCAAAAGCAGACCAGGTAACCGCTAGCCTTGGAGTACAAGGCATGCTTGCTACTTTTTCTTTCCTTTTTTTATAAAAAGAGTGTTTATTTAAACCCTGGCTGGTATAGCTCAGTGGATTGAGCGTGGGCTGGGAACCAAAGTGTCCCAGGTTCGATTCCCAGTCAGGGTACATGCCTAGGTTGCAGGCCATAACCCCCAGCAACCGCACATTGATGTTTCTCTCTCTCACTCTCTCTCTCTCCCCCTTCCCTCCCTAAAAATAAATAAATAAAATCTTAAAAAAAAAGTGTTTATTGTTTAGACAGAGGGGAAGGGAGGGGAAAAAGAGGAGGAGAGAAACATCGATCTGTTGCCTCTCGTGCGCCCCAACCACACATGTCCTCACCGGGGACCAGACTGGAACCCAGGCCTGTGGCCTGACCGTGAATCGAACCCGCCACCTTTCACTTCTCAGGAGGACGCCCAGGCCACACTGGCCAGGGCTGGGCTTGCTTCTCTGTCCCCACAGAACCGGGAGGTGTCTCAGGGTGCGTGCCCCCTCCCAGAATGACCGTGCCTAGACCATCCCGTCCCCTCTGGGACGCCACCATGGTTCCAGAATCTTCTTCTTACGCTCTCACCTCATCCTGACTCTTCAGTCCCCCCATCGTCCCTCATCGCCGCCCCGGGGGGTGGGACTCCCAGGGCTGGGAGGCAGCCGGCCCGCCAGACCTACGGGCGCACGCAGAGCCGCTGCCCCATGGGGGGCCCTGTCCCCGGGGCACCTGGTGGGGCTCCTGTCTCTCTCAGAACAGACCCGCCGGAGGAGGACACAAACACCCAGCCTTGCTCGGTAACCTGCTGTTCAGGTCCATGCCACACGGGGGACCTGGGTCCCAGCGCCCCCCGCCGTCCCCAGCAACCTGCCCTCCATGCGGACCCCAGGCCTCCGCTGGGGGAGCAGCTTCCCCACCTCCCTCCGTGAACCTGCGCCCCTCCTGGCCCGGGCAGCGCAGCGGGCGGGACAGGGCCCGCACCACCCCGGCCCGGGAAGCTGGCAGCAGACGCGGGCACAGAGGGACACACGGTGACTCATGAAGTGCTATGGAGAGGGTGGCCGGGGCCCTTCGTGTCTGTGGGGTGTGGGGAGACCTCTCGGAGGGGGTCACCGGCCGGGGAGGGGGGCGGGAACGGTTCTGAGCCCACAGAAGGGTGGCAGGGCAGGGGCGTGCCGTGCCGTGTGCAGGGCTGCCGAGGGGGGCGGAGACCAACGCCTAGACGCGGTGGGGAG